GTGGAGAGCCATGATCGCCAACGTGATGAAGGTGTACGCCACCCAGAAGAAGAATTTCTTTTTTATTTTCAAAATGCTTTTGCTATTAAAGACTTATGTTATGTCTACCTCTTTTTTTTTGTTTATATTTTTTCCCTGGGAATCTATTTTGCAATGTAGTTTTGGTTGAATAAATGTTTTAAACGTGAATCTTTTACTGGTAAGTGAGGACCTACAGTACTCCATTCGTAATTTGAGCTCCGGTGACGGTTAGGCCCGCTCTGTGCGTTTCTATCGCCGTTTACACTTCAACAAAACAATCAACCTTGTATTTATTCAAAATACTCTTTGGAAATCCAGAACCAGATCAATTTACTCCTAGCATTAGCATTTTGCTTATCAGTGACATTTACAAATAAACGTTATTTTTCATTCACACTCATTTGAACACAATTAGAGCAGCATCTAAAAGAGCCGAGTGTTTATCTGTCTTGTTAAATATACATCGAAATATAAGTATTTTTTATATTATTTAAAAAAAAACTCAGACAAGACAGAAAGCCCGAATTTAAACTATTTTTGGTAATAGTACTTAAATTCTTCTCAATGTTTTCCAAAATGATATTTTCAGCTCAACTTCAGTTGACTAAACTGTTCTTAGTAAACAGCTAGTTAAAATTGTTAATGGAAATGATTAGATTAACGATTTCCTTATAAGGCAACATTCGGCATCCACTGAGAGAACAGTTAGTGTTACTGTCGGCTGAAATTGATAAAACCTTTCCCGTAAAACAGTTTTTCGTGCAAATAGACTTTACAAGTCCACTGTTATCAATCTTTCCAGTATTGTATTCTACAAAGATGGATCAAAAATACTAAACAGAGTAAGTACAGCAGACACAAACATGCAAATTCACAAACAAACCACGCTACCAAATAATGCGTCCATTTATATAGCTGAACTAAAAGCCATAAAAATGGTACTTAAAATGATAGAAGATTTAAAAAAAATACGAAATTTATAATCTTCTCCAACTCCCTATGTAGTTTAACAGCAATTAAAGAAAAACAAAACAAATCATCCTTATATTCAAGAAATTCTAGAATCTTGTTATCGTCTAATAAAGTACAAAACAATAATATTGGCTTGGATTTCTAGCCATATGGACATTAAAGGAAATCATGAATCCGGCACTCAGGCAAAAGACACAAAGAAAATGGTAATAACGAATATTAAACTTCTATATAAAGATTATAAAAACAAAATTGCACAATAGATCAACAGAAAATAGCAAACAATTTGGAACACCTTCCCAAACAATATGGACATCAGCCGACAATAAGAAAAGAGAACATAGAGCCATTTGCTAATCGCAAACAAAACATGGTGCTCAATAGAATAAGAGTTGGAGACACCCACTTGATACACATGCGTCCTGGGTAAGACGATAAACTACATCCGCGTCCTCGGTATGACGATAAACTACATCCGCGTCCTGGGTAAGACGATAAACTACATCCGCTTCGTGGGCATGGCGATAAACTACGCCCAACAGCAAGGCCTCTGATAATACGTTTTTGAAAAAATAATGTTGCAAGCTGTACGTTTTTTGAAAAAATAATATTACCAGCTATACATTTTGGAAAAAAAAATCTCAACAGAAATGGATTTTTGACAAAACAAAATATTACCAGGAAAAAAAAAGTTGTCGGCATTAAAGGTTGATGTGCCTTAAAACAAAACAAAACAAACTTCACACACACACACACACACACACACACACACACACACACACACACACACACACATATATATATATATATATATATATATATACTGAAGACAGAAACTGCAACCAATTCCTCACAGTCAAATCTATCTTCAAAAATGTCCCCACTGCCCAAATAATAGAATATCTGAAGAAAATAAAATACTTTCGACTTCTATAGAAAATAGAGTTTGGATTTTGAACCATACAGCTTATGTTTTAAAATACTCATGAACTAGATAACTTGTGATATTTTGGAATATTCGAAAATATTCTTGAATAAAGATCCAGTTTCAGCATTAAATAACACACAGGGGTTGATATGCTGGTAAAACAAAACAACAATCCATCCATCCAGTATTGTTTGGGGCTTCCTTTCTAATATTTTGGCATTCAGAAAAATCAACATCTTGATTACGTCACTACTTTCTATCCATTTTAGTTGTTGCTGCTGTTAAAAAGTGTCCAAGCTATGGGTTAAATAGTAGGTCTTGTATCTGAGAAAATCTTTGTTATTCTCAAAAACTGTTATTGAAATATTTACTTGCAAAAAAGAATTATTCTCACAATATATATGTTTTGGCTTTAAATGACCCACAAAGGGTTGATAAGCCGTAAAAACCAAATCAATCAATGTTGGAAGATTTCAAGTGGTGGGTGTGTGTTTTTTTTGTTGTGTTATTTGGTAAAGTTTCTTGTTTGTGATTCTGTAACACGAAATCCTCCAGATCGTCTTACGTTTAGAAGATTTCTTTAAAGCTTTCAATATTTACACAAAGGATCGTTAACACAGAATGAGCTTTGTTAGCGAGCAAAAGGAGAACTCCCGAGTGATCTACAGCACTAGACACCTAGCCATGGGACAAGACAACTTGGTCGCCCAGAAATCACCTACATTGACCAGCTATGTTATGACACAGAATGTCACCCTTGATGCAGGACCGTGATAGTTGCCGTGATAGACTCATGAACGTCCAAGCTTTCTCGACCGAATAAATAAATAACGCCAAGTCTTAATATTTGTCAATAAGTATTGCTAATAATCAAAAGAAAAATAGACAAATATGACTTTAACGGAAATAATAAGAATGGTAATATTAACCGTTTCCTTATAAGGAAATAATTGGCATTCATTTACCGAACAGTGTTTTTGTTGGTCGAAATTTATAAAATCTTTCTCTTAAAATAGATTTCTCAGTTTACGCTCTTTCTAGGAAAATATGTTTCTCAAATCCAATATATATATATATATATATATATATATATATATATACGGGAATATGTTTCAAATCATATATATATATATATATATATATATATATATATATATATATATATATATATATATATAGTGAAAATTTCAATACTAGAAAATTGCCACAAATAACCGTATTCGGACACAAATAATTCTTAGAATAATTTGAGACATAACCGTAACCGCCAACAAATTAACTGCTAGTATACTAAAATAGAACTTGCTAGCCATAATGCACCATTGGTCAGCATATATAAATAGTCGAGGAGTAAAAAAAAAACAAGCAAACAAAAAACACTCACAATCATTGCGTGTAAGCATGAAACAGACTGCCCGGTAAGACATCAGTGGTAATGGTGTCTTCCTCTAGCTAATGTCATACCATTATGTAAGAGGTATTTTTTGGAGGTGTTTCTGCCCCATCATATATATATATATATATATATATATATATATATATATATATATTGAAATGGACAAAGTCGGACAATTATTTTAAGACATTTTTTTTACGATTGAGAGGAGGGTTTCGGTTAGCAAGGTTGATTTTACTGTCTTTAAACTACAATCTTCCATGATTCTCTCACGTACATTCATATCTGCTCGATGCGTATCCAAATGTAAACAAATGACGTCACACATTATGAAATGGACAAAGTCTGACAATTATTTTAAGACATTTTTTTATGTTTATACGTTCTTTTTATAGATACAAATATTTAAGTAAATGCTCTGTTTATAATAAACAGTGTTAAACAACATTTACCGCCCTGAATGTCAGAGAAATTAGAGTGCTGGTGCTAATAAGTATATATTAAAAAATATACTATTTAGAGCATGTCGAAACACCAGTTCCCGTATGGTCACCGAAGTTAAGCAACATCGAATCTGGTCAGTACCTAGATGGGTGACTGCTAGGAAAATGCCAAGTGCTGTAAGCTTGGATGCGCAGGCGATGTAAGGTGGATACAGGTTTGAATCCATCCGGAGGGCACATCTTTTATTTAATAAGATTTCTCGAATATTCAGGCCGGTAGACTAAAATAAATAAATATAATTTAAATAGATAAATTGAAAAACTGTCGTTAGCTCTAATGAGCTTTATACAATTTTCGCTACAGATTGTGACAACGATCAAGCAAATTTGCCTTATAAACACAAATCTTCCTCAGACACTCAAAACATTCATATCGGTTTATTTTCATATCCTAACGTAAACAAAGCAATTTCTAAAGAAAGGGAAGGATTTTTATTTATTAATCTGTTAATTTGTGTTTATAAGAACCTATTCAATTTTGCTTTATTGTTGACGCACTCTGTGACTGAGAAGGTTAAAAGCATGCCAGATCTAAGAATGATATCTCCTACCAAGGGGGACACAGGTTCTTATATATATATATATATATATATATATATATATATGAGAGAGAGAGAGAGAGAGAGAGAGAGAGAGAGAGAGAGAGAAATCGAGTGTGCTTTTGATCATCTCAGCCACGGTGTGTGTAAGGCAGTCAAGGAAAATGTTTCTTTCCTTGATCCACCCACTCTTAAGAAAGCTTTGCTTTCAATGTTCACCAGGACTATGTGTCAGATGGGAGTAGAGGTACTTGTGAATGTTTGCTTAGTTCAACACTAAACTAGATGGAATCTTTGCTTGACTCTTCAGTAGTTTAATGTTTGTTTGTACAGGAAAATACTGTAGTTATTGTCCTCTTATACATTTCATTGATTGATACATATTTTACAGTTTATCCACCCTTTGCAGGTTATTTAAAACCAGAAAATATTTTTAGACAGTAAGAATTTTTTTGAGATCATAATGATTTCGTGAGACAAGTCTTACTAATTAATCCATAGCTGGGGGAGAAGAGATGGATTCATACCTTTTACAAGGGTATTTACATGTAAGTGAATACAACGAATCTGACGGGAATTGGAACTTAGTTCTCAGATTAACAATTCCGTGCCATCATCGTTTCATCGCCTTTGCATCAAAGCTTACAGCACTTGGAATTTCCTAGCAGTCACCCATCTAGGTACTGACCAGATTCGATGTTGCTTAACTTCGGTGACCATACAGGAACCGGTGTTATGACATGATATGTTCATAAGCCTTGCACATTTCTCATTGAAATTTGTTAAAAAGATGTTTGATTGCATGGAAAACCTACCGGGATTTAGCATTGGCGACCACAACCTCAACGACATAAAATACGCAGATGACACAGTACTGATAGCAGACACGGAAAAGAAATTACAAAATCTCCTACAGAAGGTAGCGACAGAGAGGGTGAAGAAAGGACTAAGCATAAACTACAAGAAGACAGAATGCAGGGTCATCAGTAAAAGGATGAACCCGAAATGCGATTTGAAAGTCGGGAACACTAGAATCAAGCAGACGCAGAATTTTAAATATCTGGGAAGCGCTTTCACAGAGGACGGTAAGTGCGACCTGAGATCCGTAGACGTATTGGGAAGGCCAGGAACACATTCCAAAATCTGAGAAGAGTATTGCGAGACAGGAGGATTTCTTTGGTAACAAAGAAAAGAATGCTGAGCTGTTACGTGACATCTGTCCTTCTTTACGGCAGCGAATGTTGGACGATTTCCTCAAAGATGAAGAAGAGACTCGAGGCTACAGAAGGATGCTGAGGATATCATGGACTGAGCAACGATGAGGTCTTAGAGAGGATGCAAACAAGGAGGAAGCTTATACTTAATATCAGAAAGAAGCAGCTGAAGTTTCTCGGACACATAATGAGGAAGGAAGGCCTGGAGAATCTGATACTCACGTGTCGAATAGAGGGAAAGAAATACAAGGGGAATCAATGCCTAACATACCTGACAAGCTTGATTGAGCAAGTGGATGACAGAACGTGGTCTGGGGGAGGAAGCTGAGGGAAGGAACTTGTTGAGAGCTGCAAGGGATAGAGGGAGGTGGAGAGCCATGATCGCCTACGTCCTGAAAGGACATGGCACATAAAAAGAAAGAAAAACCAAGCGATATTAGTAGAGTATTATAAGCACAGAAGGTGCTTTTCCCTCGCACCAGTTTTAGGCACAGTCAGAATTAACGTGAAAGAACTGAGTGATAGAAAACCGAAGCGGGAAGGTTAAGTGAGTGCGAAAAGAAGTGGGGTTTGCTGTTGTTTTTCCCCCTCTTCTACCTATACCACCCACTTTGGAGGGACAGAGGACTGAAAAAAAAGTGGGTGGATTCGGTTAGAAGGAGACAAGGAAAACGGAAGTTAGAGATCAAACGCAAAAAGGCATGACTTCTCCTGCTTCCAGTTGTAGACAGTTCCGTTCTGATGTGTGTGTGTGTGTGTGTGTGTAATAAACACACACACACACACACACATTATTTCGTTATTCTTTGATTTTATAATTTTCTCAGATTTCTCTTGTAACCATTAACGGTCAACCTAGACAGCATCCTCCGGTTTCAATTTGCCTCTAATACCTACATAAATACATATCTATCTATCTATCTATCTATCTATCTATCTATCTATCTATCTATCTATCTAATATAGTATGTTCATTATCTATCTATCTATCTATCTATCTATCTATCTCAGTATATTCATCTATCTTACTATGTTCATATCTATCTTATTCTGTTTATATCTATCTCAGTATGATCAAGTATCTATCTATCTATCTATCTATCTATCTATCTATCTATCTATCTCCTCGGTATATTCATCTATCATACTATGTTCATATCTATCTTATTCTGTTTATATCTATCTCAGTATGATCAAGTATCTATCTATCTATCTATCTCTAACTGTTCATATCTATCTATCTATCTATCTTTAATTGTTCATATCTATCTATCTCTGTCTTTTCGTATGTGTTTGTTCACGTGCCATCTCATTTGGGCTCATCATCAAATCATATTCTATATTACTCCGAGTAGACACCAATTTATCTCTTAAGGATCAAAGTCAAACTTGTTTGAAAACAACAAGAATTGTTTAGCAAAATACAAAACACTTGAAGCACAAAAAAGAAATAAGCCCCGCAAATTACATTTGTGATTGCAAATCTGTGGCCATTTTGTGTTTATGTCGATTCGTAATTGCATCGAAAGTCCAGTGTATTCATAAGTGTGTTTTTGTCGTTTGACGAGGCGAGAATTTTTTTTTCGTGCTATTGAAGAAACTTTTTTTTTTAGCCATTGTGTATATGCTTTCATTTGTTGTTTGTTTTCCGAATTTAATGTTTGCTCCGTCTCGTCTATTGAAACTGATTGTGATGTCTCGATGTGTTTACCAATTTCAACCTTTGTCGTATCAGTCTGAAGACGGGTATATTAGGTGTATAGGTGCCTACTACTACTGTTGCTACTATTTTGAGCTTTGCTCAGGATTCATAGACACGGCCCTCCACTCCTTTCTGTTGTTCGTGATGATCTTCAATGTTTTATTCTCTATCTTCTCGTAGTTGTTTTTTTCAATTCTTTTTTAACTTGCGAAACAATTTTTCTCTCCAGAATCCATCTTACATATCTATGTTTACCTCTCGTTCATGCATCATTGGTTCAGCGCCCCTGCTATTCACCTTGAGCTCCTTGATAAGATCCAAAGAAGAATCAGCAATATTATTGGTCCTGATCTGGCGGCTCGGTTTCAGTCACTTTCCCACCGCCGTAAGGATGCCTCCCTCTGCCTTTTCTATAAATATTTTCATGGTAATTGCCCGGATGAGCTCTTCGCTATGGTATCTAAACTTTTAAAATTTAAGCGCAGCACTAGACTGGCATCAAGATGTCATCAATTGACAGTTGAGCTGGCGAGATGTAGCCGTAAGTTCTATGCTAACAGTTTCTTCTCTCGCACTTCCTGTTTGAGGAACTCCTTTCCGGCTCCATTTATTCCAGCCAACTTAAATCTGGAAAACTCTAAATGCAACGTCAATCGTTATCTACTGTCCTTCTCATTTCTTTTTTCTCTTCCCGCTCATTATATATACTTCTGTTCCTGATTCTTCCACACCCTGTAGCCCCTTATGTCTTAGTGGCTTTATTGCCTTGCATGGGGTGATACCGATTAAAAAAACAAAAACAAATGGATGGATAAGGAAGTAAACATTTCTAAGCGCTACAAAAGATAGAAAGTTGGAGAGCTATGGCCTCCCACGTCCTGAAGAGTCATGACACGTAAAAGAAAAAGATGCGGCTATATAGATGTATAATTGAGAAATGTGTACATGTCGGAAAATGATCAATATATTATGAATAACTTTGTATCTGGCAGTAACCCAACGTGTAAGTATTGATGTTGTATTTTTGTATGATTTTAAGAGCTGAAATTCCATCATTCTAAAAAAAAACAAACCTTTTCACCAGTTCATGATGATGATGATGATATTTCATCCTTTTAGAAATAAAAATCTGAAATTTCATCATTATTAAAAAAATAACCTTTCCCTTACAAGCAAGAGTAGCAGTAGTAAAATGAACAACAAAGACGTATTTTCTTCGCTCCGTGAAAATCCAAAGTTGACGGTTTCAAAGGCTTCCCATAACCATGAAATTCCCGGGAATTTACAATTATAAACATGTAAGCCCAAAATTTAAAGAAACAAAGAGAGACAATAAGCCTGAGAACATATAACACACACAAAACCAATATTGTAAATAACATGACGAAAAGAAAATTACACGTTTGTCATTAATTTCAACACGTATCTCAAAGTCTTATTGCTGTTTGTTATTGTTCTACGTTTATTTCATTTCATTTTCAGTATAAAAAAGAGGAAAGGAATCCTCTATCAACTACTGATACATTTAACTCGGGGTAACTCAACCCAACGTCAACCTGTTACAACTTAATGTCAAATATTCTCTCAATCACTCTATATTATTTTCTTTTCAGGAAACTGTTGGTTCATTGCTGGGGTTAATGTCTTGATAATTCAAAGTCAGCCTCTGTTCAAGAATGTCGTCCCACCGAATCAAACCTTTAACAAAGGAACTTATACAGGTAAGACTGGAAGTTTTATATATTTACTCAAAATACTTACGGTTTATATATATATATATATATATATATATATATATATATATATATATATATCTTACTTATTATAAAACGCAGATTGTGTGTGTGTGTGTCTGTACGTTTATATATGGGATCGTATTTCCTACATTTTTCAACCGATTTCAACAAAACTTCACAGGATTACGTAAAATTACATTGCGGTGGTTCTGACAGCGCCAAAAAATGGGGAAAACACAATTGTTTTTGCACGAAATCAATTTGAAAACACGATTAAGAGGCATTAATGAAAGGGGGACAACTCATATCGAGTTATACTCATTATAAAACCCAGGTTGTTTGTGTGTGTTCATTTATATATGGGATCGGATTTCCTACATTTTTCAACCGATTTCAACCAAACTTCACTTTTTTTGGCAGGTAGTGTTTCTTATTGTCTTGCACACTTTTTTTCTTTATTTTTACATTCAGAATGCTTTAAAAATTCCATTTACAAATCATTTGTTTATTATAAAATTCTATTCAATCGGTAGACTCATAATGATTGAAAACAATGTTTTTGTTTGAGTTTCGGTTTGACCAATTCGTAAAAAAAACAAACTAATTAAGACATGCGTATCCGTCAACCTTAAACAATAATCTTTGTCAATTTTATTTTTCAGTCTTTATGATGGTCGATACTTGATCTATCTCTTGCTGTTACATCCCCGGGAAACGCCGGGCTCTACTGCTAGTATATATATATATATATATATATGTGTGTGTGTGTGTGTGTGTGTGTGTATTAATAGATTTTATTGATAAGCGTTATTTATTTATACACAAATATTTAAGTAAATTCCCCGTTAATAATAATCTGTATTAACAACATTTGCCGGCCTGAATGGCCGAGAAATTCCATAGAAATACGTGTCTTCCGACAGAAAACGAACCTGTATCCTACACGGAATACGTCATATAGCCTGACGTGCTATAACTGTTTAGCTACGAAGAAAGCGTCTGGTTATCAAGGTCGATTTTACTGCATTTAAACTACACATTTCCCACGAACGTTTATATCTAGTCGAAGCGTATCGGAGGACGCATATTTTCTATGAAGTTTCTCAGACATTCAGGCCGGTAAATGTTGTTAATACTGATTATTATAAAACAGAGCATTTACTTCAATATTTGTATCTATATAAATAGCGTATAACAATAATATATATTAAAATAATGGACGAACTTAGTCTTTTTCGTAGCGTGAGTGTTTATATATATATATATATATATATATATATATATATATATAAATAAATAAAAAGAATGAACAGTAAGATATATAATCCGGTGTTCTTATTGATATTTTTATAAAACAGTGCTCAATTTAAATTTACAGAGCATAAATATTATAAATTAACTGATTTAAAATATGTTTTTTTTTTCGCTACACAGTAATAACCATGTTCCAAAAATAGAAGCTAAAAAGTTCAAATTTAATTTTGTAATTAAATTAAAAATATTAGTTCCATTTCATCTTCATGCGAATATTGAAGTAACTTATTTTTTAAATTTCCTGAGTTTTAAACGCACACAACAATTCATAATTCACTGTTTCCAAGGATACAGAGAAATCCAATCATTCAGACGAGGGGTGGTAGCGTGTTCATTTTTATTAACTTTTTGTTGTATCAGTTATTAGTTAACTAATATTAGTTAACTATTAACTATTAACTTTTGTTGTATCAGTTATTAGTAGCGAAAAACATATTTTAAAACCAGTTAATTTATAATATATATATATATATATATATATATATATATATATATATATATATATATATATATAAAGGAACAAATAGGAAAGGTATATCAATCTAACATGTTTCATTTTAAAAAGGTTTATCTCAATCTCTGACGAAGTTTTAATAAAAGTGAAACATGTTAGATTGATATACCTTTCCTATTTGTTCTTTATTTTATCATCCTGTTGTATTCCGATCCATATTTGATCTGCATTTGATCTTTAATATATATATATATATATATATATATATTGTTATGGTTCAGATTAGGACTAAGGAAGAACAACACGAAGACAAGAGTAGAAATAACGAAGGTATATTACACGAAATAATAATACAAGATGTGGAAGGTGTTAGTATGACTGTCAGTCTGGTCTGGAGTGAACTACTATCGGCTCGACTCGATTCGACCCTCTCTCTTGAGAGGCGTAGTATACATAGTGTTAGGAAGAGTTCATTTTGTAGTTATAGGTAAGGTATATATATATATATATATTATGTCAACATCACTTGAGAAGATACCAGAAGTGTTGAAACACAATGGCTATTTTTATAGTGATTTTATAACATTTTCATGTTATAATTTTCGAATAAATGATTATATATATATATGTTAATGTCTGTACTCGACTGGTGTAAAAAACCCGGATAGTACAATTTGCAAATAAAAATATATTAAACCAAATTGGTATCTGGGGGGAAATCTGGCAAAAAAAAGGGTTTAAAAAAAGTTTATATTGGGTCTTTTAAAGAAAAGTATCATAATCACATAAGCAGTTTCAAACACGAAACTTATAGACATCGCACTAGCCTATCTAACTACATATGGAATATAAAACAAGATGAAGGAATCGACCCGATTTAAAATGGGAAATAATAAAAAAAGATGTTGTAGATATAACGCCGGCAATAGATATTGCCTACTAGGCATGAAGGAGAAGCTTGCCATAGCTACTTTTAGTAAATCTGATATCTTATTTAACTAAAGATCAGAAATCCTTAACGGGTGTCAACATAAGAAAGCATGTTTACTGGAATAAAAGAATAATTATTTTTTAATATTTCCTTTTTTTAACGTCATATGGTTTTATGCCAATTTTATATTTTAGTGTTTGTTTTACCAATAAATTTACCTTTGTCATATCCTCTTCAGCCAGCTTACCATGGAGATCCAATTAGGTGAAACCTAGGTAGGTAGTTTCTAACTCACTAGGATTTAACACACACACACACACACACACACACACATATATATATATATATATATATGTATAAGGAAAAAGATATATGAAATTTTATATATCCGAACAATGTCAGGATAAAACAATGATCAGTCAGTTAAGTGCCAAACGGGACACACGCTTGGGCGAACATGTCCATTTCAATTCATGACTGACTAGGCAGGAGGTATTCCCGCAGTCGACTGCCGTTTCTTTCTGCAATAGACTTAGTTGCCAATTAAGGATATATGATCCATTCTCTTCTGCTATTTAACCCATACTTTGGAGCAGAAGAGATGGATTCATACATTCCCCAAGGATCAGTCAGTTAAGCGTCATGCGGGATACACGTTGTACGATTTCGATTCATGATTGACAAGGCAGAAAATTTTTCTGCTATAGGCTTCCATTTTTTTATACGTTAGACTGGTTGCCAACCAAGGCTGTAGGGACCAAAAAGGAACGGAATTGTCGTAAGTCAACTATCGCCTGTATTTGATTTGGGTGCATATTGGCCTTGTGTAATGATTAAAAGAAAATGCAAAATGAATCTTTATATGATCAGCGTATTAAGTGACATACGTGATAAACGCTTGGGCTGTCATGTCTCTTTCGAGTCATGACTGACTAGGCAGAAGGTATTCCCGCAGTAGGTTGCAGTTTCTTTCTGTTGTAGACCGTTTCACTAGACCACAACACAATGATAACAATGATGTAAAAACAGAAACAAAATGTAATTGGGTAGACTATATAAGCCCTCCCACCAAAATATACCCCCACCAAAAAAATATACCACTCCCCCCCAAAAATATACCCCCTCCCCCAAAAATAATTAAGAAAGATCTTGGAGTAGTTACCCCGTTTCCTTCTCCACGGCTTAAATTCACATTTTTCCTTTTCTTAGAATAGGCTAGAGTGTACAGTCTACCGGTTTATTTAACTCATAGCTCTGGGAGGGTGAAAATAGACTGATTCGTGGATTTCTCTCCACAGATTAGTCGGAGTTTTGAGTTCAGATTCCTGACTCCATTTTCTCCGCTGATTTCCATTACCCTCTACCCGCAGGCCGTGTGGTAACGTTTAACATGGAATCATCAATGATTCTGAGAGAGTCTTTTTTTTTTTAAGCGTTTCACCCCAAGCAAGGCGGGAAGCCACTAGCACGCAAGGGGTTACAGAGAGTTGGAGCGAGAGCAAATAGGAGTGATAGAGGAAAGGATGAAGAGAAGGATAGGGGATAGATCAGGGCATCTGGAGACGTCGATTGACATTACATTTGAATAGTTGGAGATTATAGCTATCAGGGAAGCAGGAAAAGGAAAGGGAGTTCCACAGGCGAGAGGTGCGAGACATGAAGCTATTGGAGTAGAAGAGACGGCAACATGTAGCAGTTTCGACAGTAAAAGGGGTGTGAGCGAGATGCCAGCCTAGTAGAACGCTTAAATTTATGAAGTCTGGGAACCAGCGAAAAAAATGCATATATTGTCGAAAATTCCTTTTTTCATAATATAGCTATTTGCGCATCCGCGTTCTGTGTAAGACGATAAACTACGTCCAACAGCAAGGCCTCTGATCAGGAGGTTTTGAGGAGCGTGGAACCACCTCTTAATTGCTGGTGTTCCCATGTCCACCCTGACCCAGGGTGGTAGCATCTGTTAGGGTCCCAGCTATGGACAAGTAGTTAACCCCCAAATTGGCGTCAAAACACTATGAAAGTGTAAAAATAGATTTTAATACCAGCAATAAATTTTTGAGGAAAAATTATTACCAGCAATAAATTTTTGAAGGAAATAAATATTACCAGCAATGTATTTTTGAGGAAAAAATATTATCAGCAATACATATTTGAATAGAATGTGTTACTAGCATTACATTTTTGAAAAAAATATTACCAGCAATAAAAGTCTTGTCGGCATTAAATAACCCACTGAGGTTGATATGCCGTAAAACAAAACAAACCAAACCAATATATACTGAGATAGATAGATAGATAGATAGATAGAAAGAAAGAAAGAAAGTATTACCAGCAATAAAAATGTTGTCGTCATTAAATAACCCATTGAGGTTGATATGGCGTAAAATAAAAACCAAACTAAACTATTTGTGCTATGTTATAATGCTTATTACCTAAACAATAATAATACTGAATAATTTTTTATACATTAAAGTATATTTAATCACATCTACATAACAGCTGTCGCGATCTGTTAACCATATGATTAAATTTATAGCGTCAACAATTCCTGCTTACGTATGCACTTGATGACTTTTCCATCCAGTGTTGAGTTTGGATGAATAAATGTTTAAGCCTCCGTTTGGACTCATTTGCGATTTTATGACAATTAAAATTGAACAATTGCCTTTTATCTCTATTTAAGGCTTATTCCGATTCAACTTTTGGCAATACGGAAAATGGACAGAGGTTTTAATCGACGACTTTTTGCCGGTTTCTCGTGTTTCCGGACAGCTGTGTTATTGCTACAACAGGAAGGAACCGGATGAATTTTGGTGTTCCTTGCTTGAAAAAGCCTACGCTAAGTAAGTAAAAGCTGTTATCAATTAAGTTGATTATGTAATTTTTGTGTACTGTAATTCTGTCTAGATAATGCGCAGTTCTTTTCTTCCAAAATAGCGCCCAAAAGTCTAGTGCGTCTTATGCTTTAGTGTAGAACTCAATCCCATTTTTCCATGATTGCCTTGCTGCCAGATGAAGTTTATCATCGGATAATGATGACTGCACGGCAAATGTTCCAGGAGCCTTTTAAAATGTCAATCAAAGAGACAAGACCAGAAACACTATACAAGAAACATTCCGCAACACTATACAAGAAACATTTCACAACGCTATACAAGAAACATTTCACAACACTATACAAGAAACATTCCACAACACTGTATAAAAAACATTCCGCAACACTATACAAGAAACATTCCGCAACACTATACAAGAAACATTTCATTACACTATACAAGAAACATTCCACAACGCTATACAAGAAACATTCCACAACACTGTGCAAAAAACATTCTGCAACACCATACAAGAAACATTCTGCAACACTATACAAGAAACATTCCACAACGCTATACAAAAAACATTCTACAACACTATACAAGAAACATTTCATTACACTATACAAGAAACATTTCAAAACACTATACAAGAAACATTCTACAGCACTGTATAAAAATCATTCTGCAACACTATACATGAAACATTCTACAACACTATACAAAAAACATTCGACAACACTATACAAGAAAACATTCTACAACACTATACAAAAACATTCCACAACACTATACATGAAACATTCTACAACACTGTATAAAAAACATTCTGCAGCACTATACAGGAAACATTCCACAACACTATACAAGAAACATTCTACAACACTGTATAAAAAACATTCTGCAGCACTATACATGAAACATTCTACAATACTATACACAAAAACATTCTACAACACTATGCAAAAACATTCTACAACACTATACATGAAACATTCTACAACACTGTATAAAAAACATTCTGCAGCACTATACATGAAACATTCTACAACACTATACACAAAAACATTCTACAACACTATGCAAAAACATTCTACAACACTATACATGAAACATTCTACAACACTGTATAAAAAACATTCTGCAGCACTATACAGGAAACATTCCACAACACTATACAAGAAACATTCTACAACACTGTATAAAAAACATTCTGCAGCACTATACATGAAACATTCTACAACACTATACAAAAACATTCTACAACACTATACACAAAAACATTCTACAACACTATACACAAAAACATTCTACAACACTATGCAAAAACATTCTACAACACTATACAAAAAACATTCTGCATTTATTGACTGAACAGTTAGTATTTCTGTCGGTTGAAATTTATAAAAACTCTTTCTGAAAAGAGTTTCTTTGGAAATTAAACTTTTAAAGTGTATTCTTATTGCTCATTCTAATACTAAAGGGAGTTTCCTTCCAATCCTTTTGTTTAAGGTTGTATGGAAAGTGAACACCTTGATTATATGATTATTTTCGCTTCTAGTTATATGTGCTATTCATATTTGTTGTCGCCTCTGTAGGAAGTCTTCAGGTGATGTCGGTTTTAATATTTGGTAAAATTTATTGTGATGCTGTAGCGTCAGTCTATAGGATCTTACGGGATACGTTCGCTTGAAGCCATTTTTAATGATTGATCTGAGAAAACAGTTTTATGTACATGATGGGTTAGATATTTCTAAATGAATTGCTCGCCATTCATGACATTCATATGAAGTTTGTAATCTCCTCAACGATGAAGAAGATATTTAAAGCAACAGAAAGTTGGGTCTACAGAAGGATGCTGAGTATACCATGAACCGAATATGTAAGTAACGACGAAGTCTTAGAGAAAATGGAAACAAAAAGGAATCTTATACTCAACATCAGGAAGAGACAGTTAACATTTCTAGGGCATATAATGAGGAAGGAGGGCTTGGAAAACCTGACACTCACAGGACAGATTGAAACGGAAAATAACGTAACATACCGTATTTTCTGGCTTATAAGACGCATTTTTTTTCCTAAAAATATCCTGAAAAATACCAGTGCGTCTTCCAACGCCCAGGCTGAAATAAGCTTAAACAGTCACCTAATTGGCTTGACTGATAGAGAAGGGATTTGTATGTTGAGTAATAATGTTAGCTATTTAATTAAGCCTTTTATATGATGTAACCTCAGTACTTAGCTGTTACAAGTATTTCCAAGACTATAAACCTTCCTGGAGCCGAGCCACAAGCTTAAACATGCTCTGTTTACTAGCAACGGGAGCCTTTCTGCTCTTGACTAGTATGTCATTGTCATACAAACAAAATTGGACAAGTGATTAATGTAAACAATACGTGGCGACAGTATGTGAGCGACGCATGGCGAATGTGTTGTTGTATGAGAACAACACATTCACCATATATTAGGGTGCGTCTTTCAAGCTGCAGCGTCTTGTAAGCCGGAAAATACGGTAATGAGCTTAATTAAATGGATGGCAGAACAAAGTTAAGGAGAGATAACAAAAAGACAAAATTTATTAAGAGGTACAAAGGAGAGAAAATTGTGGAGATCCGTGAACACCTACGTCCTGAAATGACACGGCACATAAGGAAGATGAATCATTTTATAGGGTTGGACAAAAACTATACTTACCACAACGTATATTGTGTTCAGTTTTGATGAAATTCCTGATAAATGTTTAGAGGTTAAAGTAATAATATTTTGTATTAAAAGTGTCACAGATATCATTATGTACATATATATATATATTTTTTTCTCTTAACTTTTCATAGATTGCATGGCAGTTATGAACATTTGGACAGCGGAAGCATACACAATGCATTGGTGGACATGACAGGCGGTTTATCTGAAAAGATTGATTTAAAGAAAGGGAAGATAACCCCGGAAAAACTTTTTGAAACTCTGTCGAAGATGTGGACCATGAGCACAATGATTGGTCTTGTTATTTTTGTAAGTACATTTTTTTTAAGCAAGGCGTGAAGCCACTAGAATGCAGGGGGTTGCAGAAGATTTGGAGCGAGAGCGGATAGGAGTGATAGAAGAAAGGATGAGGAGAAGGATAGTGGGTAGATCAAGGTAACTGGAGGTGTGGATTGACATTACATTTGAATAGTTGGAGATTATAGCCTTCAGGGAAGCAGTAACTGGGGAGGGTGTTCCACTGGCGAGAGGTGCGAGGTATGAAGCTATTGGAGTAGAAGAGACGGCTACATTTGAAAGTTTCTACGGTGTAAGGGTGGGAGCGGGATGCCAGCCTCGTAGGGCGCTTGAATTCATGGAGTCTGGGAACCAGTGAAAGCAGCTCGTCGGCGCAGTTACCATGGAAGTATTTGGAGAAAAGACAGAGAGAGGCGACGGCGCGTCTGTGAGAGGGTGTCTGCAGACGAGACGCTAGATCAGGGCCAATTACAGGAATATATTATTATTATTATTACAGCTAAATGTATCGTTAAAATATTTGAATGGGGACAGAGCAAGCAATTTTGGACGCTTCCGTTGTTTTTTTTTTTTTGTTTTTTTTAAGAGCTGAAAGTATAAATTCTGTCATGAGCACTAGCACAATTCTTTACACGGTGGCGACCTGTAGAATAAGATAACAGGTCGGGGGTGGCTGTCGGAGCTGATATGATGAATAAGAACCCCGAAATCAGCGATGAAGACGGCTTTCATCACTGATGACCACCTTCATGCATTCGAATGTATTTTGCGATATCGATGTTGTTGTTAACAAACAAAATGACTGACGTAACTTTTCGAATATTTTCCAACACTTAAAGAACGTCATTTAAGAAAAAATAATGCATTTCCTTTTCTTAAATCACACTCTTCTCAGCGTGTTGTATTATTATTATTATTATTATTATTATTATTTCCTTGGATTTCTGTTGCATAATCATTTCCTTCCGGGTCCCAACCATAGACCGAAGATCAGAAATGACAACATGACATTTTCCACTGGAAAAAAACAAAAAAGAAAAAAACTAATATCACACAGATTTTACATTTATCCGTCATTCTTTCTTGTTCTCGTTTGACCCCCTCTGCAGTGGAATTATATTTATTTGTGCTGCTCCAAATATTCTCCCAAAATGTTTGCACTTCTTCAATAGCTGGTGGCTTTTAGAATTCTAAAATAGATTTTTCAATTTCCCTGTAAAACTTCTTGAGGTCCCTTTGGAATATCTTATTTTGCCGATAGATAATCGATATTATTATTATTATTATTGTTTGTGTATGTATATTTCCTGCTTTGTGTCCTGTACAGCCGGGTCCAAACTATGGTCTTTAGGCCCTATAAGAGAATCGTCATTTAATTGATAGCACTTTTCTTACTATATGGGATGTTCCTTTTGGGCAACTTGTGTGTTGATGCTGCTGTTGTTGTTGTTGTTATTACTATTATTATTATTATTATTTCCTTTGTCTTCTGTTGTATAATTATTTTCTCAGAAAATTCCGTCAGAAATTGTTCGAAGTTCATTTCACAAGGAAAGTACAAGAAATAAGGTCCAAGTTTTCGAATTTCAAAAGTTATCATTGTTAGAGACAATTGGTGAATTTCGTAGAACTAGTGAGTGTTGTGATGTTAGCAAAGTGTGTTGTGAGCTGGGCGAGTGTTTGTGATTTATATACGTGTGTGTGTCTCTTATATACATTTCAGAATGCAGATTTTTACTTTATAATTACTTTAATTTTATTGATAGCTTGTTTTTGTTGTATGTATTTTTGTATGTTTTTGTTGTATGCATTTTTGTATGTTTTTGTTGTATGTATTGTATGTATTGCCTTTGTATATGTTGTTGTATTACTTCAAGGGCCATAAATCTGTTTTTACTATTTGATTTTACGAGTATTTTAGTTTTGTTTCTGAGTAGCTGTCTAATGTTACTATGAACCTTATGCTGTTTATTAATGTGGTGTTTGAGGAAACTATAGCACGGGACACACACATATATATATATATAATAAAAAAGGCTCAAACACTAATATTCCATGGTTATAATTTATTACATTGGAATCGTAATCACGATCCAATTCATCAGACCTACAAATTCAAAAACCTTTAGGCCTTCCTGTTCTTCTTTTTTCTGTTACCCCTCTCTAGAGCTTTCATAAATTTCCCTCTCATACTTGTCTCCCACTCCCATACATACACTCTCACTAAAATTATATTTTTTTTTTACACGGAGTTATATTTTCCGATTTTTTTTTTGACTTTGTAGGTCTTATGAATTGGATCGTGATTACGATTCCAATGTAATAAATTATAACCATGGAATATTAGCGTTTGAGCCTTTTTATTATATATATATATATATATATATATATATATATATATATATATATATAAGAAAATATCCTCTTAAGGTGTGTTATATTTATGGGGTAAAGTGCTCAATATCAGAGATAGAGCGTATGTAAATATAAAAGCGAACATTAAAGTCAACACTTAGAGGCGACAGTCTGTTTCAAGCTAGACACAATATATACTATAGTCGTGGCCTGACGATTGCGTCTAGCATGAAACTGCCTGTCGCCTCTAAGTGTTGACTTCAATGTTCACTGCAGAGTCTTGTTGCCAGACATAGGGTCTTCCAGTTGCCACCCTCTTGATCCAGGGCAGAAATACCTCCTCAAGGCACTTAATGTAGTTCACTGTGTTGAGTCTGAGGCTATGTGGGAAGATGAATGGAGGCATAACGTCGTCATTACTAGTGGTCATATAATGTTGATTAGATATATCATACAACTCTCTCTGAATCCGCTGCTCTGTTCTCAGATTAACACACAAACACTCTGAAATGTTCTTATTGGGGTTTCCGGCGCAAATGCCAAGCAGTACAGTATGATATTTTCAAGTTTCTGGTGGAGTGAATTGCGTCAAGATGCTTTTTTTTCCTTTGAGATGCTGCTCAGTTGACCCTACAATATTATTCAGGCGATAAAATAAAAAACAAACACTGCGCTTGCGCGAAATTAAAAATATAAAATGGCGAGTATAAAATTTTTTTACCAGTCTCACGTTGTATATATATATATTCGAAAAATTTCTGAAATTGTAATGAACAATAATTCCGAAGATATTATAAAATGTCCACTCCATCAGCAGCCATAGAATCTGTTTTTTACGAATATTCCTTTCAATAAATATTGATTTCAAAATTTCAGGGTGACGACAACACTCCAGTACCTACTGAAACTCCCCAAGGTCTCATCAAGGATCATGCATATGCAGTTACTAAGCTTGCAACGGTAAACATTAATTCATATTTTTTACAATTATTTTACAATTACTTTGCGCTTTGTAAATGTGAGTATATAAGAATATACTTGTATAATATAATTTCTTAATTTGTAGAGTTCTATAAGGGGGTTTATTTATCGTTGAGAAAACAAACACGAAGCATATGAAAAGTCTACACGGTAAAAAAAGATCTAATCAGATCTGTACATAATAGAGTACGTATCAAAACTGTATTCGTTTGGAGAGTTATTGAGAGGGACCATAACAAAAATGGTAACTTGATGTGGACTGACTGTATTGACACTTTAGCAAAAGAGCACGTGTATTTTATGTGCGGTTTCTAATGAATGAGGACGAATTCTGTGGAGTTACCCCACTTACTTCCCTAAAAAAATAAACGCCACTAGAGGACGCTTTTTGAACCTATAAATACATTGTAATATTTTTCTAACATTTTCCTTTTTCTTTCACCTACAGATGTAGGTCAAACGTGGAGAAAAGCGCGCATGCGTGTCAACTCTTTCATTTTCTCTTATTTTCTTTAGATATGCTAGGATGTAGCTCTATCGTGAAAACGTGTTTCCCATTGGGAAACGCACACGGTAACGCCCACACACACTTACACCATTGTGTAAATTAATTGAAACAAAATAATTCCGTTATTTTTTTTTCGTATTTTTCCAATGAAACATGATCCAGTGCACATGTTAATACTTCGTATGTCCATTCCACGAAGTCTTTCCTTGTAGATTGACCACGGATTCTCGATTGGATTTAAATCAGGAAAATTTTCAAGCCGGTCGCTAGTACATTGATTTGCTCACTGGTAAGGCTTGCCATTCGTTCGTGCAGCGTTACAATTTTCGCATCTTCTTTCGAGTAAAGTCCATCGCAGGAAATGGCGGTAGGACAACTAATAGACAGTAAAGACAATAGTGTCTGGGCGTGATGAAAATCTGATGCAATCAAGGATGGCGTATTATTTTTCAAGGCCAAACAAATTTCATCATACACCCCGAAAATAAATTCATATTACTGCACACCACTGCAAATGGCCTAATGTGAGGAAAAATAGAAATCGATTACATCCTGTAACCCCAGCAGGTCTGAAACTGTCTGTATGATGGAAGATAGGAAATTAAAGCGCTTGTTTAAATTAATTTGCACAGAGGTGTACGTACACAACTTCATTTTACTTCATTTTCTTTAGGACTGCTACACATATTTTACATACACGAACGATTCACTCGTCTTTGAATGTTTTCATGCATGTTCATTGTTTGGTCACATATCTACCAATGTAACCTTTTGTCGTATTAATAATACATTATCGTTTGTTTGTATATGTATTGGTTTCAGTTGTTTCTTTTTTATTTTATTACCCGGACTCACATACCGAGTCCGCTATTTTTGTTGTGGGATAAACATTCCCGGAGACACCCGTGTACTTCCGCAACTAATCTGATTATGAATTTCTGGCAAAGATGTATTTTCTACCTCTCATTGGTGCTGCTTTTTGCTAGTTGACTTTATAAAATGCCAATGCTTGTAGAGTTATTTAATATCAATGTTTATTTGGATGTACTGGTAGTACTGCAGGTGGCGTAATAGCCAAATTCGAATTCCAGTCGAGTTTGTTAATTTTCGTGTAAATACTTTTCTCCCCTCCGCTATCGTAAATCAAACAGGGCTCTTCAGTTTTCTCAGGAGAAATCGTCTGCGAAGAGAAAAACTCTGAATTTCGAACCCGTTGGGCTTGGAGGTAGCAATTGCATCCCGTGAAAACGTGCTTGATTCAAAAGCCATAGCAGCGACACCAAGCGTGTTGAAAGAGTACGGGACTTGAGTAAGTGAGCGAATTAGTTTGTCTGGGGTACCTAGAGTTTGTCTGGGGTACCCAGAGTTTTGTCAGGGGCGGGGACGAACTCACTGCTCAGTAGTAATAATCAACCAACTACCTCGCTGACGATTACTCCGTCGCAGGTGCCCTTTGTTAGATACAAATCTTAACTTACTTTGACTCTTGGCCACAATACCCAGTAGTAACGGGTGGCACATGAAACTCGATGAGAAAATAATGATATAATCAAGATGTCGACATTCCACATTACTTCAGACAAAAGGTTAGCAAGGAAACCTCCGTCAATATTGGAAAGAGCGATAACACCGACTTGACTTGAGAAACCTGTTTTCTTAAAAATGTTTTAAGAGAAAGTTTTTATGAATTTCAAGAAAAAGTATTACTGGCAGCTCCGTCAATGAATGCCAAATGTTTCCTTATAGGGAAACAGCTATTATTACCATTACTAATAAACAATCGAACCATTATACAATCCTGTGACACCCGGTGTGGAACATCTTTTTCTGCGGAAATTGGACGCGCTTTTTAAATTTGTTTAAGACAAGCCAGGTAACGTCAGGAAGAGACCGTTGAGTTTTCTAGGACATATAATGAGGAAGGAAGGCTTGGAAAATCTGATACGCACGGGACAGATAGAGAGTAAGAGGGAAAGCAGAAAACCACGCATGACATTCTTGATAAGCTTGAGTAAATGGATGGCGGAACAGGGCTTGTGAGAAATAGTAGAAAGACCAGGTTTATTAACATCTACAAGAGACAGGAAGTTGTGGAGAGCCATCACCGCCTATGTTCTGAAGGGACACAGCACATAAAGAAGAATACGAATAAGAAGGAAACGAGAAGTTTGATTACCGTTCTATTGTTCTCGCTCTTTAATATTTCTCTTTATATCTTATTCTTTCACACTATTGTGTCTTAGCGGCTTTATTGCCTTACTTGGGGCGAAATGATTTTTAAAAATGAGCGTTATTTAAAAAAACAAGAAAACAAACAAACACTGTTATCGGTCTCATCTAATGTTTTTAATTTGTATTTAGGTAACATACAAGAATAAAAAGGAAAATTTGCTAAGAATTCGAAATCCCTGGGGACGGATAGAATGGAACGGAAGCTGGAGTGATAAGTAAGTACATAATTATATAAATATAACATTATTTTTCTTAACTTCATAATGTATGATTTTAACCTTGTGCCTGGCGCTACAGGATCACAAACAAAGAACTGTGCCAAAGAACAGAAACTACATCACTTGAGGAATACCAACAGCGGCAACAACTAGAATGGATAGCACATGCAACTCAAAGAGAAAATAATTATATAATAAAGAGATTTACATTCCACACTTCTTCAAACAAAAGGTTAGGGAGAAAACATCCATGAATACCAAAAATACCGATAACAGCAACTGAAGCTGAGAAACCTATTTTCCGAAAAAACGGTTTTAAGAGAAAGATTTTATAAAAAAAAAAGATTTTATAAAAAGATTTCATACATTTGAACTGACTGTCTTCGATGCTGAAGTGTTAAAACTTTTAAATTTAAATTTGTTTTATATATTTGTTTGGGTACATATTCTAAAATAACTATTAAAAAAATGGTGCGCATGTGCAGTCACATCAAGGTAAACATCACTTTCGCCCGATGATAGTCCGAAAGATCGAAACGCCTCACACGATTATTTTTTCCACTTTCTCCTTAATTTTCCTAAAAATGTTCTGACACATAAAAAAATATATATTAATCTTTCTATATATATATATATATATATATATATATATGTATTATATTATATATTATATATATATATATATATATATATATATATATATATATATATAGTACAGGCAATAAATCCGTTTGTATATAATCCAAGTAGATCCTAGTAATATCAAATATTAAAACTGATCCACAAAAAGAGCTCAATGTATTTATTTGTAACAGAGCATATAAATTACACAACAAAATCAAAATTAATTAAATCTTCTTGTCTGTCATATTTAATGAAAGATTTTTAAAAGAAATATATATATATATATATATATATATATATATATATATATATATATATATATATATATATATATATATATATATATGAGTGCTGGTGGTAATAAAATAGTGCTCGATTTCTTTTTGTTTATTTATTTTTTTTTTTTATTTTTTCATCATCATCTCAATTATCATCCGTACCCCATAAATAAAATGGTCTACTCCACAAGCATTATATATATATATATATATATATATATATATATATATATATATATATATATATATAGGTAACTATACTCGTTTCGAAAAACCTTCTAATTTTTGATTTGCCAATAATCAAATCAATCCCGATGGAAAAAAAGGTTTAAAAAAAAAAGAGCTAGAAACATGAAAGTCTGTCGAAAAAAATCGCACAAATACAGGTTTAAAGCCCAAAGAAAAAAACCCTGATACGAGTAAACAACTAACAAAAGCGCTCAATACAACCGTAGAGCAGACCAAGATAAACCTAGTGAGCCAGACAAACCTACCCAGGTTTCACCTAAGTGGATTGCCAGGAAATAATATATTTAAATATATTTAAATATATATATATATATATATATATATATATATATATATATATATATATATATAAATAAATATATATATATATATATATATATATATATATATATATATATATATATATATATTAAATATTTAAATATATTATTTATTATATTCATTTTATTATATATATATATATATATATATATATATATATATATATATATATTTTAAATTGCGCAACAGTTAGTTTTCATTGAGCAGCGGACGACTGCATAGTTGTGCTATCAGTGAGAAAAATGTATATTATTAACATAAATTAAAATAATGTTTATTGTTAATCTTCAACATTTTCTTTTTCAGATCCCAAGAATGGTCAGCATTATCGGAAAGTGACAAAGAAAAAACTGGTTTGGTAATAGATCATGAAGGCGAATTTTGGTATGAAGTTGTTTTTCGTATGTGTTAATGAATTGCAAACGTACTCAGATAAACTGCAAAAGCTGGTATGATAGATAACACTTCATTTGTTTTACTAAATTTTCAACCAAGGTAGATGGTTACTAAATGAGGTTGGTGTATGGACGTAGGAGGAGGAGGCTGTAAGTGTTGATTATGAGGATTTGTAGGATAGAATATGGTTGATTCTAGACTTGGAGAAAGCTAAGATTTTAGTGGTAAGAAAAACATCTTCTTGGGAGTTTGTTTTAGAAGGACTATTAAAGTTTGTTGGAAAAGGATTGTAGGATTTAAAATAATTCATCACCCTCAAGTCCGCGTAAGATTTGATTAGGATTTAGTCGAGAACATTTAAGATAAAAAAAGGATATAAATATAAAGGTTTTTTTTTATTTTTATTCTTTACTAAATGGTCATTCAGTACAAGGCTCAAGAGCCACTCAAAGCAGGCTTTACCGGTAGTAGAGAAAAATGACGTAATACCTAGGTACCGGTTGAACTGTGATAGAGAAAAATGGCGCCACCGGTTGAACGGTGGGTAAATAGTTGAAACAATTTTTATATCTACCGTGAAACATTACTTACCAATTATTTGCGAATTTTGACTCAGGGGCACAGCAAAAGGATTGAAATTGCTTGGGAACGCAGGGCACAAAGGGTTAATGAAATTAATGGCGAAATCTCTTCGCTAACAAATTTAATAAGGCATTAACTTACTAACCATTCAATGAATGACGCGATACTTGTAAAATGGATTTGACGTTTAGTACTTTCAAAAAAATTCACATTTTCATCATCAGGCCGTAATTTTTCCATTTTCAGGTAAACTCTAATCAATGCATTGTAGACTGAAAGGTGTTTTTTTTTTTTTAAGGATGTGTTATTTATTAACGGTTATAGAATTTTGGAACATGCGGTGTTGCAACGCTAGGGGCGTAGTTTAAATATTTCAATTTTAGCGAAAAACACATGCAAAAAAAAAAAAAAAATGACGAAAATTCGTGGATTTACCACATTACTAAATTCAAGCAAAAAATTCTCACTTGAAATAATCATCTTCCTGACAAATCGACCACGATAAGACTCGAACTCGCGTCTCATGATCGGAAACCACTCGGCCACGTGCCCATTGGATTATTGCGTAAAAGCACTATTAATTAAATAATTAAGTATTTTACAGTATTTACATTATTTGAACTATTGTCCTCATCTTTGTTGTCATACTTATCACAACGTTTCGGCCGTTGTACGCTCCGGCCTTATTCAGGTGGTTGGAATGTCGAACTGAACCCTTTATTTGGCTCAGTGGGGTAGACTGTTCTAGTTCCACGTGCCATGTTTAATGGATATCAGTTATTAGTTATCTCCTGTTAATTCCTCTCTACAAGTTCTCCACCGTTTTAACCATGTCTTGAACTCTAACCAACGTCTTTATTCGCTGGGCCATGTGTCCTTGCGAATAATGTAAATAATGTACATAATACCTCATCTCAGAAATATAGACAGATACTATGTATTTTTCGTTTGCAATTCAAATAGCCGATAATTTCAAAAAACATTCAAATTAAATCTTGATTTTTCAGGATCTCTATTCGAGATGTGATGAAATACTTTGATCTTGTGGATTTGTGTCATCAAGAAAAAGGAGCAATGATGGCTGTTTTGGGTGAGGACAAAGAGCAGGTATGTAAATACTGCAAATAATGAGTGAAAATTCCCTCACCCCCCATTTTATGCAACCACATAACCCTTTACATCTGGCCGCCTAACTTGCCAAACTGCAGCCATCTTGATGTGTAGGGTGCAGTTGAGCGAGAGATCAACAAAACTTTGTGTAACACCAAAGATCTGAAGGCAAGGATTATGGTTTAAACAAGGAGACTGTCTAGAAGAGTTGCAGGAGATTCCGAAGTCGTTTGGAGGCTGTGAAGCCAATGACGATTTTATTGAATAAATTTACTCTTTAGTATTTCAAGATATTTTTGTGTAATTTTGATAAATATATCTTAAAATGAGATGTCAGTGTCATTTTCAGCTCGGCGTCATTTAGACGAGAATTCATCCATCCCACCCTGTATATTGGTTAACTACACCATCACATATGGTATATAGTTTAAATAATAGGTGTTACTAGAACAATTATGAATGAGTCATGAGTTCGATCGTTATTGGGTGCTCCATACATTCGGCCTTGTGCCACATCTAAGCTGCGCTTGGAAAATCACTATAGTCAATAGAAGGGGAATTGCTAATATTCATGAACCCGTTTCAAAGGGAAATATTCGGTGATATTCGGTAATTTTTTTATGAAGGTTCTGAAATATTTGAAAATAAAAATAAAAATAAAACGCGGGAAATGAAAGTCAAGCAGTCTTGTGTAAGTGTTTGTTTGTCCCAATACACTACAATTTCTAGAAAATGTTTGGGCGCGTAAATAACAGGTAGAATTTGTAACAGAACAAGTCGAGAGCAAGTCAGGTTTGGTTTCAACGGATACAATGTTTGGCATATATGGTCATCTTTCGTTGGGATTGTGATAGTGTAGAAATTAATGTTCAGGCTATAAATAAGTATTATAATTGAAGGCAAATGAGACTGATACACGTTTTTTAATTCTTTATTCGAATTTAAAAAATACAAGAAAATATACTTGTTTTAAACTGGGCCAAATATGGAACAGGAATCTGTTTAAACTGGGCCAAATAGAGAACAGGATCTTGTTTTAAACTGGGCCAAATAGAGAACAGGATCTTGTTTTAAACTGGGTCAAATAGAGAACAGGATCTCGTTTTAAACTGGGCCAAATAGAGAACAGGATCTCGTTTTAAACTGGGTCAAATAGAGAACAGGATCTCGTTTTAAACTGGGCCAAATAGAGAACAGGATCTCGTTTTAAACTGGGTCAAATTGAGAACAGGATCTTGTTTTAAACTGGGCCAAATAGAGAACAGGATCTTGTTTTAAACTGGGCCAAATAGAGAACAGGATCTTGTTTTAAACTGGGCCAAATAGAGAACAGGATCTTGTTTTAAACTGGGCCAAATAGAGAACAGGATCTTGTTTTAAACTGGGCGAAATAGAGAACAGGATCTTGTTTTAAACTGGGCCAAATAGAGAACAGGATCTTGTTTTAAACTGGGCCAAATAGAGAACAGGATCTCGTTTTAAACTGGGTCAAATAGAGAACAGGATCTCGTTTTAAACTGGGCCAAATAGAGAACAGGATCTCGTTTTAAACTGGGTCAAATAGAGAACAGGATCTTGTTTTAAACTGGGCCAAATAGAGAACAGGATCTTGTTTTAAACTGGGCCAAATAGAGAACAGGATCTTGTTTTAAACTGGGCCAAATAGAGAACAGAATCTTGTTTTAAACTGGGCCAAATAGAGAACAGAATCTTGCTTTAAACTGGGTCAAACAGGGAATAGGATCTTGTTTTAGATTGGGCCAAATAGAGAACATGACTTGTCTTAAACTGGTCCAAGTAGGGGATAGGGTCTTGCTTTAAACTGGGCCAAATAGAGAACATGTACTTATCTTAAACTGGGCCAAATAGAGAACAGGGTCTAATTATGTTGCATTATACTAAATCTAATCCTAAAGCCTATGGTATCAATGATGGCGTCCCACATAGCGATTTACTTTTTCTAGTATTGATGGGAGTTTCTTTCCTAAAGTCAATATTAGAACATAAAAAAAAGTTGATATTCAGTTCAGATCATAAATACTGTATTTGATTGCATAAAACACAGATTCACATATTTTGATTTCAAATATTGACATAAATTTGTAATACGTGATTATAAAATTGTTTCAAACTTGCCTAAATAGAAAAACATAGATGAATTTAAAATAACATTTAATGTGCTAACAATATTTTCTTAATATTTCCCCGGCAAATGGAGGAGTTGTCTGTAGGTTAATACTGGTTGTGACAAAATGTTGTTTAACTGTATTATTTACATTATTCGGACTGTTATCCTCATCTTCATTGCCATATTCACAACGTTTCGGCCGTTGTACGCTCCGGCCTTTTTTTTAGGTCATTGGAATTTCAAACTGAACACTTTATTATTATTTTATTTAAAAGTAATGAAACAGGCATTAATTTGTTTCAGTTCTTGTAAAAGGTCATCCCCCGCCCCTGCCAAACCGAAAATTCGATTTTACCATATACGGAATAACAGTAAAAATCAAAATATTTCAGGGGCTTTATTTTTTAATCAGCTATGATGTAATTGGATAATACTTATATATTTTAACGCATTTAACAGTTTATATCTATAGCATAACATATAAACATACAAATATAAAAGGTATATATATATATATATATATATTAAGTAGAGTCCAGTAGAGCAGCCATCCCATTCCCTGTCACATGAGTTCGCTTCTGGTGGAAAGTTGAAAATAATAATAGTTCGAAATCCAAGACTTCATCCTTCCCAGGTAGTACCTCTCTGTCGGGAGGGGGCCCTATTTATTGCTTTACCCATTCGCAGACTTGTGCAATGCTGTTTTTTTATTCTTCGCGTAATTGTAAGGTCGTGATCAGGCATTGCCATCCACGTGTTCCATTGCTTCTTCATGTTTAAGTCTAAGCTAATAGGAGTTGCCAGGTAGCTAATTTCGGCCGAATATCGCGAATTTTAAACCTACATATGCCATATAAGACGCAGGGAAAGTTTAAAAGATATTTTTAGTAAAAATAGTGCGCCTTATATACCGTCAATTCGTATTGAAAGATTTAAGTTTGTGGTAGATTTTAATTTTTTCTACAAGCAGGTGTTTTAAGCATAATTTTACTTGTCACGAAGTCACAAATGTGGAAACTGGAGATATGACATTTTTTGTAATCATATATACCCGTTTCATAAATCGATGAACTTTTGTTCAAAAGTAATGAAAAAGGCATTAATTTGATTTAATTCTTGAAAAAGGTTACTCCCAAGGTGAAAATTCGATTTTTCCATAGACGATATAATGGTAAAATTTTAATTTTTTTAGAAGCTTTATTTTAAATTTGCTAATGATGTCATATATATATATATATATATATATATATATATATATATATATATATCAATTTTTGCTAATGATGTCATATATATATATATATATATATATATATATATATTAACGCATTTAACAGTTTCTAGCTATAACATAACATACAAACACACAAAATAAACAAACACAAGTTGTAGAAAATTCCAGGAAGTTCTAGAAGGCCTCAGAAAATCATAGTATTACTATACTTATATACGATTTTAGAAATTTCGTGTTGTAGGTAACATTTTAAAAATAAACTGAACTAAAACCTTCATTATTTTTTTAACAAAAAGCCCATCGAATTATGATACAGGAAATTAATTATTTTACAAAAGGTCATAAACCTAATATATATATATATATATATATATATATATATATATATATATATATATATATATATATAGTTAAGTAACGAAAATCTTGGTAATCCGTATGGATAATCCCAAGGAGGATGAAATCCTGAGAGCTCATTGTTAAGTCAGAGGAAATGATTTAATTTAAAGAAAAACGGACCACTTTAAGGTTCCATTGTAATAATTTATTTCACTAGAGAATTTTATTTTTCTCTGGATCTTCAGACTTCACTTTCAAAAGCAGATTTTTCTTTTCACCTTTGAAAGTCAAGTCTGAAGATCCATAGGAAAATAAAATTCTATGGTGAAATAAATTATTACTAATGGAGCCTTAAAGTGGTCTGTTTTTCTTTAAAATAATATATATATATATGTATATATATATATATTTAAAATCATGAAAACTTACCGTCGTTAGTCAGGCGCGATGACAAGACCTCGCGAAGAAGACAAAGCGACGTCTGCCTCCCACGACAACTGATCCACACCGCCCGATACACACCCTCACCAGTCAGGGGTGTAGTGTGAGGGAGGAAAATTAAAAAAAAATTGACAATTAGCAACTACGAGTACTTTAAACATTGTGGGGTAACAAAAAAAAAACATTTGACTAACGTAGGGTTAAAACAGAGTGCTTGCCTGCTTGCAGTTGTTGGGGAGATACACCGTGGGTTCACGCGTTTTAAATACTTGTTGTCGGCCATTGTCTCTTTGGAGAATCCTGAAGCTATAACCCGGAGTCTTCAAGATCTTACTAATGCCGCAGCCATGTTTTCAAGCGTTAGTCACTTCTCTTTCTTTTTATTGCTTTCCTTTGTCCCTTGCAGTCTTATTTACAACTGAATATATATTTTTGTCCACTTCTAACTCCCTGTGTCATTATTTTTCAGGTGTAGAAGAAATCCTAATTACGCAAAGATGAATAGAATTTATTTTTTTAATTTAACACTTAGGAAGTGCTGATCATAAAAAAATAAATTGAAAGAAACTATTTTGATATTTTATCATGATCAACAGTCCCATGACCGGGTGGGGTCGTAGGGTGACTGCGCAGCTGAGCACTTGACCAATTCTCTCCTTACATATCTAAGTTGAATGTCTGAGAACTCTACATTTATGTGCAGCCCATCCCTCTAACCTCAGCCTATGTCCTCCAACTTGGAGGCCCGCCTTAGTCACGGACATATAGCTGTTGATTCTCTTGCGTCTTGGCTGTCAACTTTAGTCTTGGAAGCCCATCGTCAAACGATGCCGCGTCATAATTTCACAGGCTGCGTACATGGCTATGAAACTGTTGTGGAGTGATTTCGCAGTGGAGGCTTGTATTTGTACTAAATCGGTCCTAAAATAGGTTCGACGTACAAAACTTTAGGAACTTGATATAATTGATATTACGCAGAGTAATCTTGTGGTGGTCGCTGATACTTTCGTATTCGACTAACTGTCGTCCGACATCGACGCTATTTAGTAACTGCCCCACGCAGTCACATGTAGCACAAGGCCGAATTTATTGTGGGGTTCCCGAGCCCGTAGGCTCGGCCAAAAAAATCCCCGTAGACCCCGCATAAACGGGATCGGGTTTGTCTACCTCCCCGGACGAAACTCTGCCCTTCGGCATAGCCTTGTCCGGGTTCCTCTCTGCCCGAAGGCAGAGAGTTAGACTGTCGTCCGACATCAACTAGTATTTAGTCACCCCACCACGAGGGTATCATGTGGCACAAGGCCGGTTTAACGTGGGATCTCAGAGCCCGTGGGCTCGGCCAAAAATATACCCTTTGAACCCGTATAAACGGGTTCAGGGTCGGTTTACCTCCCCGAACGAGACTCCGCCCTTCGGCGTAGCCTCGTTCGGGTTCCTCCCCGCCCAAAGGCAGAGAGTTCAACCGTTCAACCGGTCGTCCGACAGCGACTGAATATTCAGTCACCCACCCCCAAATGGGGCATCATGTGACACAAGGTCGGTTATTTAATGTGGCTTCTCCGAGCCCGTGGGCTCGGCCCCAAAATATGCCCATTGAACCCGTATAAACGGGCTCAGAGCCGCTTTACCACCCCGAAGGAGACCCCGCCCTTCGGCGTAGCCTCGCCCGGGTTCCTCTCTGCCCGAAGGCAGAGAGTTCGACTGTCGTTCGACATCGACTGTCGTCCGACATCCACTGACCTTTCTTTCTCTTACTACTCCTACTTATATTAAGTGAGAGAGTCTATTAACTATAGAATAGGTGTGTTTCACCATAACAGAAACCTAGTCGCCCTATTGATCTAGATGGCCTGTGACCCTGAGAGAAAACTCATACGCCCGTTGACAGGTCTTGTTTTTAATCCTGCTCGGTGGGGGAGCCAGTTTAGTTGCTGATGAACTGACCAGGTGTTAGATAATGATATTGATTTGTTTTTTTTTTACGGCCTATCATCCTTTTGTAGGTGGTAGAGTATATTGCGTTGCATGGTATCAGAAGTACTTGTAAATGTAAAAAGTGAATTGACATAAATAAGTACGATACATTAATGTAATTATTTAAAACTTGCCGACATATTTTGCCTTTGTTAAATATAAACACTTGTCGATGCGTTTTATTGTCTCATCTTTTTCTTAAAAAACACTTTCCATATAAAAAAAAAGTTACTTTCACGTTGCAGCGGAAAGGCTGGAGTTGTTACACCTACAACGATAACTGGGTCCATGGGGTTTCCGATGGCGGATCCGACAGAAGTTCAGGTGAGTATAAAAAAAGTCCTTCTGGATTTGTAATGATGGAATCTCTGTAAACCAACGGTAGCGAAAAATTACGGAAGATGACTGGTTCAGTACAAAATTCAAAGAACCAGAACTATAAAAATGGTTTTGTCGGGTTATATAAGAACAATAATCTCCATGAATTAATGGAAAGGTAAACATAGTTCCGCTTTAAATTAGAGTAAAAAAATATGCACAGAACCGATTTACACGAGGCTAAAGAAAAGGTGGACATTGGTCCGGTTTACAGTGGAGCCAAAAAGGTGAAAATCGGTCTCGTTTATATTGGAGCCAAAAAGGTAGACATTGTTCTGGTTTACGTTAGAGCCAAAAAGGTGGACATTGGTCCGGTTTACATTGGAGTCAAAGAAGTGAAAATCGGCCCGGTTTACGTTGGAGCCAAAAAGGTAAAGGAAAGCAACGAATAATCTCGCTGGCGAGCTAGAGTGACTGGATGTCGGTCCAGGGTTTGGATAGCAAAACGACAAAAAGCACAGGAAATGGTTGACAGCTATCATCGCCAGCGTCTTGAAGAGACACTGCACAAAGAAGAAGAAGAAGAAGAAGAAGAAGAAGAAGAAGAAGAAGAAGAAGAAGAAGAAGAAGACGGAGTTTCCTAACTTTTGTCGACGGAAATATTTTGTACATTTTATTTTTTAATCCTTTCTGTATTATTATTATTATTATTCCTTTGATTTCTGGTGTGTACTCATTTTTCCTGGTCCCGCCCAGAGACATAAGTTCAGAAATGGCGTCATGACATTTTCCATTGAGCAATTAAAGAAAGAAAACAAAAAAGAAACTTAAATGCAGCGATCAATTTTGAGTTCTGTAGTTTATTGTTGCCATACGGCAACGGCATGCCTCGGAAAACAAATGTCTGCAAACAGAGGACCAGAATGCAATCAAAAGAGCCAGTTGCAGCGAAGAAAAGAAAGACCTGTGCAAATGAAAACCCAGATTAAACGACAGCCTCGAGAACTTCCAATGCTGAGAATATACAAAGACTTAAGGACTCTCAAACTCCTGAACAAGCCGAAGGACTAATCAAGAGCCTTCTGCAGGAGCAATCTTAAATGCCACCCGATAAGGCGGCTTTTAAGCTAGTAATAATAATAATGATAATTTTCAATTAACATTTTATGACTCATTGAAATATTCCTATCGTGTTTATTCAAGTGTCTCTTTGAAATTGGTCCGCCATATTGATTCTTATTTTGTTTTCTTGCTTTAGAATCTTACTGGAATAACCCGCAATTTATCATCGATCTGGAAAAAGAAACAGGAAAGACCACAACGATCGTCTCCCTGATGGAAATTATGGACAGGAACAAGTCGAGAATGGATATTTTTACTGGATTTGATGTTTTGAAGGTGAGCGGCAAATCCAAATAAATTACAAGTGACTAATTGTTAAGAAAGTCTTTCAACTGTTGGTTTGATTCTAGCTCACAAACGAGTTTTATCCTTTTAAAGTTCCCAGGCTCATTACAAATCGTTATATGTTTTGCACACACCCACACACAAGACTTAAGGCCATATCACGTTGAAACACCGGTCCCTGTAAGATTACCGAAGTTAAGCATCGTAAAGCTTGGTCAGTACCTAGATGGGTGACCGCTTGGAAATACCAGGTTCTGTAAGTTGGATAATGTTTTGGAATTGTTCCAATTCCATTTGTGTTCGTTATATTCACTTACGCGTAAATTCCCTTGGTAAAAGTTATGAATACACATATTCTCCCCAGCTATGGATTAATTAGTTAGACCTGTATCACTAAATAATTGTTACAATTTAAAATTATTTTCTGTTTTTAAATAAGGTTGATATGCTACAGAAAACACATTGTAATAAAACACACAGACACATAAGCCCTGGATTATTGTCCATCATATAACAAGGTTTTAAGATTAAATGAGATAAATTTCGCTATGCACTTTGAAATAATGAAGAGATTAACAACAATAACTACTAATAAAATAGAACAAGCATAATAATAAACTGCAATAAACGTTATGTAACGGGTGAAAGATTCACATTGACAGTAGATCTTATTAGGCACAAGAAGTGATTATTAATAATATTAATAATAATAATATTGTCCTCATCTTTGTCGCCATATTTATTACAACGTTTCGGCTTTTCCGTATCTGTCTGTATTTCTGAGATGAGGTATTATGTACATTATTTACATTATTCGGACTATTGTCCTCATCTTTGTCACCATATTTCAAGGACACATGGCACAGTGGATAAAGGCGTTGGTTAGATCCAGTGACAGGACCCAAAGAGTGTGAGTTCAATACCCGGTTAAGGCAGAGGGAAATTAACCGGGGATAACTGATGACATCCATCAAACATGGCATGCGGAACTAGAACAGTCTACCCCAGTGAGCGAAATAAAGGGTTCAGTTCGACATTCCAACCACCTGAAGAAGGCCGGAGCGTACAACGGCCAAAACGCTATGATAAACATGGCGACAAAGATGAGGACAATAGTCCGAATAATGTAAATAATTATAATAATAATAATGATAATAATGTCATTACAATAAATAGTAAAATACATATCAGCCTTCTTTTTCTATGTGCCGTGTTCCTGCAAGACGTTGGCGATCATGTCTTTCCACAACTTCCACATTTCCAGCTCTTAGCAATGTTTGTCTTTTAACTATCCTTTCCAGTCCACGTTCCCCCATTCATTTACGCGCGATCAGGGGAGGCGTTGAGCCACCTTCCTAACCAGCTTGTGTGTTGGCGGAAAGAGTATGGGAGGGGTGATGAAAGGACAAACGTTACTGAGGGTGACAAGGGTAGAAAGTTGTGGGGAGCCATGATCGCCCGCGTTCTGAGAGACACGGCACTTAGAAGAAGGTTATTTTCTAAGCGGGGTTTAGATGTGGCCGCAAGTATGGGGCACCTAGTGAGGATCGAACTCACTTTTGTTGTAACTGATCTAGCGAGACGAGCTTGCTAACCATTACACCACGCCGAGATGCGCCACGGCACATAGAAGAAGAAGAAGAAGAAGAAGAAGAAGAAGAAGAAGAAGAAGAAGAAGAAGAAGAAGAAGAACAAGAACAACAACAACTTGATTTCTAAAAAGAGTGCAAAGTGAAGAACCCCTTTTGGCAGCCTAAACCTTCTTGTAGGTTTTATCGACGCTCATTCTGACTTAAAAGGAAAAAAAGAAAGATCAGAATTTTAAGTTAGATGCATATCTAGGTAAATGGTAACGACAATATTAATTGTTTCCTTATAAGGAAGTGTTATATGAGTTACGCTTTTCCCCACTCCCCAGTTTTCTGGCTGAGATCAAAGTGTAGTATCAGTATTCCAGCGGACAAACCGGAGGGATAAGAACCCTTTCCAAAAGAGGCAACTTCCAGTTAGAAGCTTGCAGGCTCAAGCATAAACCGACCAGTTTTTACTTGTAGACACAACTATGACATCAATGAATTTTAACTAGAGACTTAAGTATAAACCCAGTCAATATTTACTTATATACTAAAGTATACATACGACCAATATTTTCCTATAAAAGTTAAGTATAAATAAACTAGTGCAGTGTATACCTATAGAAACAAGTATAAAACCGACCAGACTTGAGCTATAGACTCAAGTATAAAACCAATGTTCCACTATAGACTCAAGTATAAACCCAGTCAATATTTACTTATATACTAAAGTATACATCCGACTAATATTTTCCTATAAAAGTCAAGTATAAATAAACTAGTGCAGTGTCTACCTATAGAAACAAATATAAAACCAACCAGACTTCAGCTATAGACTCAAGTATAAAACCAATGTTCAACTATAGACTCAAGTATAAACCCAGTCAAAATTTACTTATATACTCAACTATAAATCCGACCAATGCTTGCCTATAAAATCTAAGAATAAACTAGACCAGTGTTTACCTACAGAAACAAGTATAAACCTGACTAGTCTTCAATATATACTCAAGTATAAAACCAGTCAATGTTTACCTACAGACTCAAGTATAAACCCAGTCAATATTTATTTGTATACTCAAATATAAACCCAACTTATGTCTGCCTATAGACTCAAGTATAATAAAAAGAAATTGACATTAATATACATAAAAACACAAGAGTTTATACATCGTGGAATCAATATCCGTTCATGACTTTTTACTTTCATCCAACATTTTAGATCGAAAGTGGAACGCCGTGTCCGCTGGCCAATGAGAACTACGAAAAGGCGAATCTTGTTTTTGAAAAACGCGCCACCGAGACTGAATGGCGGGAAAATACCTTATGTATGGATCTAGATTCTGGTAAATATGTCGTCATCCCTTACACGCAACTGGCCGGGAAAGCATCACGTTTTCTTTTACGGATATTCGCCGAGAAGGATATCGACTCTGAGTAAGGCTTTTCTCTTTCCTTAATATTTCCAACCTTGTCATTTTTTTACCTGTTTCATCTGTACATCTGATATATTTGATGGGTAATTTTGAAAGTTGTTTGTGCCCTTGCAGTAGTGCAATGACGTCAAGAGTCCTTGAGATTCCAGCAAGATCAGGCCCAAAATGAAGAATTGGTGACATTCCATGAGCGCCGATCGAACCCATGGACGGATATTCGCTCAGGCAGGCCCCAGGCCATGAACGTCCATTCATCTGCCTAAGAGTACACTCCGATCTTTTGAGAAAATCTATGCTAATGTTACTATGATCTATATATATATATATATTTCCAAGAAGATAGAATCCAGGTAGAGCTCAATGTCCAGGACAGAGAAAGAATATAATATAAAAGGCTCAAGAATTAGTGAATTGATGAATTGGATCATTATTACGATTCCAATGTAATAAATTATAACCATGGAATATTACTCATTGAGTCTTTTATATTATATTCTTGCTCTGTCCTGGACATTGAGCTCTACCTGGATTCTATCCTCTATATTATATATATATATATATACCACTAATATTATCATATATATATATATATATATATATATATATATATATATATATATATATATATATATAAAAGTGAACATTGAAGTGAACACTCAGAGGCAACAGGCAGTTTCATGCTAGACGCAATCGTCAGTTCGCGAGTGTTGGATTTTCTCGACTATTTATAAAAATGGGTCAGTGGCGCATTGTGGGTAATCAATTCTGGCAGTTATTTTGGCGGATGTGGCTTGTTTATTTATTTGGGTTAATTTATTTTACTTGCTTTTTATTTTCATTTTTTATTTCATATTTATGTATGTTTTTCGGGTTTCGATGTTTTATTAACGTAGTAAAAAATTTTTAGGGGATTTGTTTAGGTCGCTTATTTAATATTTTCTTTTGGTCTGGGAAGATAAAGCTATTTATTCATCCAATTTTTCGATTGAGTGCCGTAGTCTATTCTGCTATTTTGGCGGGGGACAGTTTTTAATTTGTTTATTATTTTATTTGTTTATTTATTTGGATTGATTATTTTTACTTGTTTTTACTTATTTATGTTTACTTTTATTAGTTCTAACGGTTATTTTAGCGGAAGCGATTTGTTAATTTGTTTACTTATTAGGATTAATTTTTCTTATTTATTTGCTTATTTTTTATTTTGTATATTTTTATTTACCCTATTCGGTTTTCGATTTTTTTTATCGTTATATAACAGTTATAGCCATTTTCTCGTCCAATTTTTTTGATTGTTGTAGTCTATTCTAACGGTTGTTGGTTTGTTAATTTGTTTATAGTTTACTTTATTATTTTTACTTGTATTTTATGTGTTTATTTTTAATTTTTATTTGTTCTATTTCGTCTATTTTAACGGGAGTGGTTTGTTAATTTGTTTATTACTTGCTTGGGTTAATTTATTTTACTTGTTTTTTTATATTATTTTGTTTATATTTATTTATTCTTTTCAGTTTTCGGATTTTAAGTAACAGTAAAAATTTGTTTTCATGTCTGCATTTTGAGATGAGCTCAGATCGTTTATTTAGCAATGAGTTGTGCGTGTGTGTGCATTGAGATCAAATACAGATCAAATAGTGATCTGACAGAATGATAGGATAAATAACAAATAGGAAATGATATAAGAATATATATTATCATCTGAATCCCGCATAGAAAACTAGAATTATGATACACTGACATAAATTATACAAATGATTGCTGCTTAACAAGTCAAGTGCACGTGAAGCCTTCTTAACCAATGAAAAAAAAAATAACCAGAATTTCTTTTTCTCCATATCTCATTCTCTGTTGAAACTTTAATAAAACCAAAACATGTTAGATCTATAAATGTTCCCAATTTGTTTTTTATCCTATCATATAAGACAAAAGTAAACTTAACTTAGTTGATGACTTTCTTCCTCTGATGGAATTTATCAAGGCGAATCTAAGCATTTTTTTTATGCACAGAAGCGAAAAGTGGGTCAAAAGTAAAATGCAGCAATAACATAAGCGAAACGAAAAAGACACTTTTCATGAGAAAGATACAATTGAAATTTCTAGGACACGACGAGAAAGGGGGACTTAGAGAATTTGATGCTCCCGGGCAGAAGTTGACAGGAGACAACAGCGACTAACCTAATGAGCTTGTGTAAATGGATGGTAGAACATGGGTTGAAAAGGGTAGTAAAGGGACAAATATTACTTAGAGCTACGAAGAATAGGAAGTTGTGGAGAGCCATGACACTTACCTAACTATCTTATGTAAACGGATGGCAGAACAGGGATTGGGATGGATAGTAAAGAAACACATATTACTTAGAGTAACGAAGAATAGGAAGTTGTGGAGAGCCATGGTCATTTGCCTAAAGAACTCGTATAAATGGATGTCAGAACAGGGACTGGATAGGATAGTAAAGAGACAAATATTACTTAGAGCTATGAAGAATAGGAAGTTGTGGAGAGCCATGATCACTTACCTAAAGAGCTTGTGTAAATGGATGTCAGAACAGGGACTGGGAAGGATGGTAAAGGGAGAAATATTACTTAGAGCTACGAAGGATAGGAAGTTGTGGAGAGCCATGATCACCTACCTAATAATCTTGTGTAGACGGATGGCAGAAAAGGGATTGGGAGGGATAGTAAAGAGACAAATATTACTTAGAGCTACGAAGGAGAGGAAGTTGTGGAGAGCCATGATCACTTACCTAATGAGATTGTGTAAATGGATGGCAGAACAGGGAAAGGAGGGATAAGGAAATAAACACTTTTTTCCTCTACAAGAAATAGGAAGCTGTGGAGAACCATTTTCATCCAGGTCCTGAAAGGTTTATGACACATAAAAGAAGTAGATTAAACTACAAAGATGTCGGACTGCCTAATTAATATATAAACGTCGGAAACGGGTCAATATGCTATAAATAACATCTGGCTGTAACGCAACGTGTAAGTATTATTTCACCCCAATCAAGGCAATAAAGCCACTAAGACACAAGTGTTTACTGAGTGTGAAAGAATAAGAAAAAGAAAAATATTATTAACAGCCTAGAACAATAAGAGAAAAAGAACCAGGGAGACAGTAGATAACGGCCGAATTGAATTTAAATTTTTGAAGTTGATTTAAAAGAAGCCGGAAAAGAGTTCCACAAGGAAGATGTGCAATAGAAGAAACTGTTAACATAGAACTTACGGTTACATCTCGATAATTACACTGTAAAATTATGAGACCCTGCTGCTAATATAGTACTGCACTTAAATTAATGAAATCTAGGTACTATAGAGCAATGTTTCTCAACCTTATTCTGGTCGTGGCCCCCTTTAATCCAATGTGAGTTCTTTATTGCCCTTTATGACAACTTGAGTTATTATCACCCCTACTCCCGTCCCGTCCCCCAAGGACCCTAAGGGAGGTAGGAATATTAAAGATTGTAGTTTGGATAGTACTATAACATCAAAACACTAACTCCAGTTGTAAATCAAAGAGTGATATTATTTGGATAAATATTTTATTTTAAATAAACTCATTTATTTACAAAACAAAAATACAGGTACCATCAACTCTATCTTGTATGATTTCAATAAGATCACTGTGTCTCGTGCAGGGCTGTTAAAGTGTCAATGTTTGCCTTGAAAGCTGTCAAAGAGAGACGTAGATTGCCTCTTTTTTCTACGTGAACGTGATTTCGAGTCTTTGTCAGCAGATGCATCATCCGACTGAAACCAGACTCAACCAAGTAAGATGTGTGAAAAGCGAGTTAGAGAAACTTCTCATCATTCCAGAATAGTGGGTAGTTCTTATTTATGTCTTCGTTCATTCACAGATTCTGGTATCCTCTACGCTTGAACCTCGTTTGAGCTGCTGGGTTATTTTGAAGTTCAATGAAACTTTCTTGTAGGGTGATATAAACTTCAGATGCATCAGCAATGAAGGGATCCACAAACCAATGCAGCACTGTCATTTGGAGTCGACCAGTGAAGCGAGTTTTCATATCATTATGCAACTGCTTCAAATGATCAACATACATTGTTAGGTCATCATCAAGCAGCTTGGTGGATATATTTGCTAAGAGAGGAATCTGTGTAAACTCCCGTCTCCCAGGGTTCAACCAAAACAACTTTTGTTTTCCGTTAAATTTCCAGGAAAACAAAATGGAGTCATTTCCTTATTCAGGACATTTAGCTTTTCAAAATTGAAAGACAAGTTGTTGAAAACATACCTTAATTTAAACTTTAAATTGTAAGAAATTGAAAACTAAAAACGGCCATTTTGCATAGCTCAAATGAAAAAATTACAATAAATAAATATGCTAACAAAATGGTTTAGTAATAAAATCAATATCTTATTTTAAATAATAATTATTAATTACAAAATACTCCATATATATATATATATTGTGGGGCCTAAATTTTCTGTGCCTCCTCGCGATCCCCATTTTTAAACTTGGCCTTGTGACCACTGAAAATATCTCATGGTCCCCAAGAGGCCATATGGCTCACGTTCAGAAACCTTGCTATAGAACAAAGTTCGTCCGAACAATTACCATGAAACTATTTATAGAAAAAGGCACAGGGAAGCTACTTTACGACGGTGGGAAAGTGACTGAAGCCGAAATGCCAGGTCAGGGCCAATAACATTGCAGATTTTTCTTTGTATTTTTTATCAAGCATCTCTAGATATATAGCAGGAGCAGCGTGCAATATGTGGCAAAAATATTCTAAAAATTGGCGAGCGGTCGACTTATAAATATGTAAGAGAAACTCTGAAGAGGAAAAATTGTCTCGTACGACACAGCGAACTAACTTTGCTAGCAACAGACCTAACTATTGATTCAATATAATCTTTACGCGTCATGTTATCGGAAGACGTTAGTTCGAAGAGACGCAACGAGTCATTCCCATGGATGTCTGGAACTTGTAGCTTTTCAGATGATTAAAGTACCAGACTTAGCTTAAGATAGCGGCACCAGT